GCATGCACTGCGATTTTAGAAATCTTGTTCTTTGGTGACAAACACTGTACGTTTTAATGTATGTTGATGTCCTAATCAAAACGGCTCCCTACTCCCTACATAGTGCACCACATTATACAATAGTTGCTCCTGCACCCATACAGTGCATCACATCTCTAATAAATAGCCTTGTGTGCAAAGTTCCATACTGGACAAACAGTGCACTGTTTTAGTGTAAAAGCCAGATTTCAGCCATTGACAAACAGCTACAACAGCTTTGCTAACTAGTGCCACACTGTGCACTGAAGCTGAAGAGAAGGCAGTGTACAGGCAGGTCTACGAAGACAAAACGTCACTGTATTTATTTATACCTCGCAGTTCAACTCAGTCAAACAGAGGAAAGGTGGCATACAGAGACGCTGGGGCCACAAACGTGGGCTTTTTTGCCTCTGTGCCGGAGTGGTGGTTGTTATTGTGTGTGGTTTTGGGTGCGACTTTGAGAAATCGTTTCCTGAGAAATCGTGCTGCTCACACTGGAGACAAGCAACCAAAATTTCGGGCATGTCAGAAATCCATCCAATCGCCCGACTGCTCAATCGGAGCTCGTTCGGGCAGTTAATCGGGCATAGTTTCTCCTCTCACACTGCATGGCAAATGACGGCCGATGAAGCTGAAATTCGGGCCGATCATGAAACTCAGTCAGCTCCAACCAAATCGCACAGTGTATGACTGGCTTAAGGTGTAATCAGTCACAAGTAAAATGCTGACCAACAGATATCAACACAGCTAATTATGTAGCTAACATTACCTTGTTACAGTTACAGAAACTACAGTTTATACCAGCTCATTTAGTTTGTGGGTCACTTCATTAGCATTAGCTACGTAGCTCAGCTACACTGTTTTGAATGAAATGTGTTTTTGCTAAGTAACTAGATAGATAGCCTAGATACCTGTATAGCAAATACTGAGCAAGATCAGCGTCGCTCTTGGTGCTTTTCTCTTTTGGGTCTCTTCAGTTTTGGAGTTCAACACCAGTGATGACTCTTGATTATTCTCTAGATCAGATCTAGATTTTCTTTTCTTGTTCAATTGCAACTTCAATTTAAGCCAATAATTGCTAATCAATGGTACATAATTACAGTTATAATTACAGTAGAATCATTGGTTAGTCTCAGCCTCAGATCCTCTAGCCAAATGTAAATGGATACCCATAGTGTAACATATGTATAAAGCTTGTATCTCCCTTTTTGTCATTTTTCATTTTTTGAATGCTTTGAAAAGGCCAGTTGTTATTTGCACTGTCAACATTTCATTACAAATGGACCAACAGAGACGGTGCAAAGTTTGGCTAAAACTTGGAATAAAAATTCATGACATTAACTTTCCTTGAGATTGAAAACGTTTTTCCTTCCCCTGTAAAGTCACCATTTTGTAGATACGAGGTTTTGTTCTGGTGGATATATACATTACTGGCCATGATGAAAGGATGCGTCTCTCTTCACTGGAGGAATGAAATAACAGGTGGCTCATGTCTTTCCACACTGTTGAACAGAGTGAGCTGTTAGGAGTTGACAGGTGTTTGGTTTCAGAGACTGCTGGAGACATTACACACCCACCCATACACCCCCCCACACACACACACACCACCACCACCACCAGAAATGACACTTTCTGTTCCTGTTTGTGGGCTGCAGTCACTGGTACAATTTCCGCATTTCTCTTCTTTAAGTTCAGATTCAGTTCTTCAATTAATTAGTTATTTAAAATCTTGTTTCCATGTGATTGAATTTGTTTGATATGAATTGCATTGTGAGAAGTAAAAAAATGAAACCAGCCTCGAATACTGAACTTTGAAAAATACCCCTGCAGATTTCTTTGAACACTGAAAGCAGGTTTAATACAATAAATACTGACAACTGACAAAAAGATTATTTTTTCTGTTAAATATATATTCTGATTTACAGCTTGAACTTGTAATAAATGTCTGTTTTAACTGGAAAATGAATGGTGGTCCCTGATAGCAGTGTAGATATACACAATTCTTAATGTTCCACACTGATTTTTAGATTTGAGGACACATTTATTTCAAAGCAGTGGGATCTAACTGTTCACCATGTGGCCATGAGGGACAGGGATGTAGTCTCACTTCCTGCTCTAAAATGCTAAAAGATGTGGCTAAAATAAGGCTCTGCCTGCAGACTAAAACTCCTTGTGTTTCGGTAGTAACATGAAAACGTGCTACAAGATAAAGTATTTTTGAATAAGTTTCTTGTTTAAAATTAAACTCATGACATATCTAAATATTTTAACTTAAAAAATAATCGAAAACCTATGAAAACTATGAGCCAGCAGCTTCAGTACATTCACATCAGCCATCAGAATGGGTTAAAAAATGTGATCTCGGTGATTTTGAGCATGGCATGATTGTTGGTGTTGTACTGGCTGGTTTGACTGTTTCTATAACTGCTGATCTCCTGGGATTTTCATGTACAATGGTCTCTGGAGTCACTCAGAATGGTGCAATAAAGAAAAAACATCCAGTGAGCAGCAGTTCAGAGGATGGAAATGCCTTGCTGATGAGAGGGGTCAACACTGAATGGCCAGAATTGTTCGAGCTGACAGAAAGGCTACTGTAACTCAGAGAAACACTTTGTACAATTTTGCTGAGCAGCAAAGCATCTCAGAATGCATAACACATTGAACCTTGAGGTGGATGGGCTACAACAGCAGAAGACCATGTCATGTTCCACTTCTGTCAGCCTAGAACAGAAAGCTGAGCTTCGGTGGGCTCAGGCCCATCACAGCTGGGCAGTTGAAGACTGGAAAAACAAAGTTTGGTCTAATAAATCTTGATTTCTGCTGAGGCACACAGATGGTAGGGTCAGAATATGGCGCCAGTAGTGTGACTCCATGAACCCAACCGGCCTTATTCCAACAGTCCAGGCTGGTGGAGGTGGTGTAATGGTGTGGAGAATGTTTTCCTGGCATATTTTGGGTCCATCAATACCAATCAATCACTGCTTGAATGCCACAGCCTATTTGAGTCTTGTTGCTGACCATGTGCTTCCCTTCATGACCCCAATTTACCATCTTCTAAAGGCTACTTCCAGCATGATCATGCGCCATGTCACAAAGCAGAAGTCGTCTGGTTTCATAACCATGACAATGAGCTCAGTGTTCTTCAGTGGCCTTCCCAGTCACTGGATCTGAATCCAGTAGAACACCTTTGGGAGATTCAAAGTGCAAAATCTACAGGAAATGGGGTGCAATCATATCAACATGGACCAGAATCTCAAAGGAACATTTCTAATATCTTGTGGAACCCATGCCATGAAGAATTGAGGCTGTTTTGAGAGCAAAGGGAGGCCCTACTCAGGATTAGTGTAGTGTTCCTAATAAAGTGGTCGGTGATTGTGTGTAATTATTTAATTATTTTTAATGCTGTTAAGAATAATTAAACAATAAGTTCAATTCTAAAAAGGTAGTGTGTCAGCTATTTTGTAGTGCGCTTCAAATACTCCATGATGGATTTTGCAGTCGTTTAAATCTTGCACCAAGCAGCCCTCATCAGAAACACAAATAATGACCACAGAAAAGAACAAACCAAAGCAGTGATTTTATCTCACAGAAACAACCGCCCTGGAGAGCTTAGAGAGAGCGATGCTATGATGAGACTGAGTGACACAGACAGAGAGAGGCGTTTGCTTTTCGCTTTTGAGCTCAGTCGGTGTCTCTCCGTCTGGGTGGGCTTAAGAGACCAGGAGAGTCATCACACCTCCTCCACACGACAGCTGATTCAACTGAGCGCCATCAAACTGAGTGAGGCATAATGAAGTTATGATGCTTCTGCCACTGCCAAAACTAGCATTATACGTTATACACAGCTCAGGGATGTAGAATGCCCCTACTGACACACACACACACACACACACACACACACACACACACACACACACACTCAGAGATACACACTTCTTGTGTGATTAAATCTAAAAATGTGTCAAGTGAGAACTGATATCTCTCACAGATATTTAGAGCCCCTTACATCAGTGCATTGTTTTTAGTTCACTGAGTAGTGAGTCATTTGGTAAATGCACTGATCAACTGTACATTTTTTCAGTCAAACATTTTACATTGGAATGTATTTAGATTGTGCCTAGATGGTTCCAAAGTAAAAAAAAAAACATAAAAAAACAAGGAAAAAACATACTTTACTTTTAATGTGAGTCAATGGAACCAGACTTTTTTACATGTAGTTTTGGTGCCATACTTTTGGTACTTTCGTCATGACATTTACACAAAATTATGTCAAAAAATGAAAAACAACAAAAATGGAGATACAAGTTTTTGCCACTTACTGTATAGGTGCACTTTGTAGTTCTACAGTTACAGACTGTAGTCCATCTGTTTCTCTGCATACTTTGTTAGCCCCCTTTTACCCTGTTCTTCAGTGGTCAGGACCCCCATGGACCCTCACAGAGCAGGTACTATTTGTGTGGTGGATCATTCTCAGCACTGCGGTAGCACTGATGTGGTGGTGGTGTGTTAGTGTGTGTTGCGCTGGGTCATGCTAGTGTGGATCAGGCACTGATCGGTATATACTGTGCATTCATTATTGTCAAAAAGTCAAAAGTCATTTTCCTTGCATAAGAATGTAAGTCCAGACATCAACATCATTGATTATGTTTGAGATTACTTTGATAGTGAGAAGCAGAAAGTGCAACCAACCTCTGTGACTGAACTTTGGAGGTGTGAAAAATATCCCTGCAGATTCCTTTGAGAAACTGAAAGTGAGTCTCCTGTAAAGAATGGAAGCTGTAATAAAGGAAAAGGATGAACAGGCTGGCTTTTTAACATATGCTCTCTACTTTTTCCCACATTTTGACTGGAAATGAAAGGTGATCTGAACACTGTGCTCCACGCTACTAAAATGAATCCTTAAAGAAGGATGGGTTTGAATTGTCGTTCGAGAGGAAATCAAATGAATAGGCCCTTATTTCTAAGTTGTGTGTGTGTTTCAGATTTAAGCTGGTGGCGTGGCTAAGAGCTGAGGGAGGCCGGTTCCCTTAACCTTCCAGTCTGTGGAAACATAACCTGGACATAATCACACACAAGAATGAGGATTAAATACACCATCTGCTTCATCTTCATCGTGGCTCTGGTCATCATCGAGAAGGAGAGCAACATCCTCTCCAAGTATGTGAACGTCTTTCTTTTCCTCTCAGTTAAAAATATCGTAGCACATCTCACAGTGACCACATTCAGTTTATGAAGGAAGAGCTGCGGTAATGTGGTTTCTCTGAAGGAGCCTGCAGAGATGACATACTGCATATATCCTACTCTTTCAGGTGTGTCAGTCCTAAGAGTGCTCTGTGGGCTAATTGCTGGCTTAGGCTCTAAAGCAGGTGCTTCAAATTACACGTGACACAGCTATAGGACAGATGTGCAGTCAAGATTTCCCAGCCTTTACTTTTACATGTACAAAAGCACTGACTTACATCTTACAGTGATGCTGATAATGAAATCTTTCATGACATAAATATCTTTATGTTGCATTCCAATAACTTTTTTTCCTGATGTTCTGACCTGCTCTAGAGTCTGACCAGAACAAAAGAGATGGATGAGACTATTGTTTAGTTTGCCTCTATTTTTGTGTTCATTTAGGGATTAAACTTAAGGGGTCAACTACACTCTACTGCATGCATCATGAGAGCAATTTAACTTTCTTGCATTCACTTTTTTTGCATAAAATTGTCCTTGAATATTACATTATTTAATTATAAAATGATATATAATGATTATTAATAATTGGTCCCAATTATTCAATTCAAAAACATAAAAAAGTGTGCAGGGGTCTTTTGGGAGTATGTTGCCTTGAGGCAACATTGTGAGACAATGGGAAAAAATGACATAGAGTCATGTTCCCTGAAGTAGTGAGACCTGGCTTGTGACTGGCTAAATCCATTCCACTGTTGCACAGTGTTGCTTCTAGGCAACAAACATAATTCTGCAAATTCTCATAACAAAAAAAAAAATATACTGAATGTTAAAGAGGTACAAATGTGACCATTAAGAAATGTGAGTTTTTATTGACTTAGTCAAACTCTTCCCTTTATTGTTACCCCTATTGTTGTCTTTAAATCTGTATAATGTTATTGTAAAGTGAGGAAAATGAGTTTGTTGCCCTGAGGCAACATTGTGGGGTTAGCTAGTTAGCTAGGCTGTCTCTCTCAGCAGCTTTTGGCATCAACTTTTGTTTTAAAAATCAACTCTTTCAGGCTACATAAGGTGTGAGATTTTTTATTGTAAGCTTGAGAAAATATTTACGAACATCTTTTTCAAGAATAGCAGTAGAATATTTTTATAGAAAAGGATAAGAAATTGTTTTAAACCTCTTTCTGCAGGCCCCCTAGAGGCCATTCCACCAGCAAAATGGAAACCGACTCTAATATTTTTAATTAATATAATCAAATATAATATTTCCCTCGTAACCCTGTTATTAGATGACCTAGGACACTGTTCTATCTCTCTCTCTGTGAAATGATGAGACTCTATGTTGAGCTGCTAGCGAGCAATGATGGGTGAAAGGTGCGAAACTATTCACAACTCTTATCTCACAGAGATAAGGTGGATGTCACAACTGCAGACATGTAAAATGTGTGTACAGCTGCCACTGTAAAAATAGCATTTAAATCTAAAAAATCACTTATATGAAACCAAACAGTACAATCCAAAACTTTCTTGCTTGCTAACCTACAAAGATGAAAATCTAGATTGCTTACAATTTTGTAAATCCGACATATTTCTATTAACATTCAATCATTATTGAAGTAAAACGAGGCTCCAAAACGAGTAGAAATAGCGTTTTATGGCTACTGCAAAAATGGGATAAAGAACAGCAATTCATCTGTGGCCGGTTGCACCAGCTGTGCATAAGTTCTAACATAGGCTAGTTGTAGTGTAAGTGTTTACCAAGTTCAGGTTCATGCTTTACTAAATCAAAACGGGTTGCACCACAAACTAGTTTTAACGTTGAGCTTAGTAGTTACTAAATATATACACCTCCCCCTCAGCTGGTGTAAGTGTTGGGGAAACCATCAGAAACCATGTAGAAAGCATAAAAAAGACCAAAAACACGACTTTTTTGGTTAGCTAAGCTGGAAATTCTAAACGCTATATGCTGTGATACCCTGGTTTAAAGCTCTGAGCGTGAAGCTAAACACCCACAGCTCAGAAAGACTCAGCTGCTGCCCAAACGGCTAAACTGAGGCTGCTGTTGTGTCGGTTATCCAGAAACCGTTGTTTAAAAAGCCGCATATTTGGTTTCTCAGGGAAATATTAAATAAACAGACAGTAGCTGTAGATAATATGCTTTGTTCAGTTTACCCTGTACACATCATTCTCTTCTATGCTGGATATTTTTTCCATTGAAAAGGTCAGAGCAGCTGCTGTTGTGTTTCCATGGCAGCAGGTTTACTGACAGTTCTGAACATGTTATCGTCATGTTAAAGCGACGTACACATTAGTTAGTTGTTACTAGTTAAGACATGACATACGGATTTGCGGTGCAACCAAATTTAGTGAGAGGATAGTTGGAAACGAACTAGTGTAACTAAGTACTTAGTAAAGACTTTGCGCCCAAACGTAAGTATAAACCTATGCGAACCTGGTGCAGCCGGGTCCTGGACTGAGTCTGAATATACTTCTTAAGACATTAAAATACATTATTAATAGGTGCTTCTTTATCCGTCTGCATTTTTGTTCTGTTCGAGTTCCCAGTTCACTTAATCTAAGCAATCAGAGGCTGTGGAATGCTCATTACATGAGTCAGATTTATTATGGAGCCTTTGAAGCACTTGGTTAAGAATGAAGATTTTAGAGCTCTGAATATTTAACTGAGGTTAAATACATGAGTTGAGCAGCTGTGATTGAAAGTTTTTGCCTGTCTGTTTTTAAGGGTCTCGGATAAGCTCTCTCTGAAGCAGACGCCTCAGACTCCCCTCCAGACCGGTGGCTTAAGCTGGATCAATATCAGACAGAATGGCTCCAGCGTGCCTTTTCCAGACTACACTGACCCACTGTCATACCGATACACAAATCGGCGCCTGGAAAACTTCAGCGAAGCCGGTGAAGGAGGCCTGCTTTCTGCTTCTGCAGCCGGCGGGAGGAAACACATCCTTCTTTTGGCCACCACCCGCACAGGGTCTTCCTTCGTGGGAGAGTTTTTTAACCAGCAGGGGGCGAATATGTTCTACCTGTTCGAGCCACTGTGGCACGTCGAGCGTATGCTAACTCTAGAAGGCGGCAGGACAAACGCTACAGCTTCAGCTTCGGCCTACCGGGACGTCCTCAGGCAGCTCTTCCTGTGCGACTTTTCTCTCTTGGAAAGCTTTATCGAACCGCCACCGCAGGACCATGTCACGACTTCGCTTTTCCGCAGGGAATCCAGCCAGTCGCTTTGCGAAGACCCCGTCTGCACGCCGTTCGTCAAGAAGGTTTTTGAGCGCTTCCACTGTCGCACCCGCCGCTGCGGCCCGCTGAACTTCACTCTGGCCTCACAGTCCTGCCTGCAGAAGCAGCACAGAGCCATCAAGTCTGTACGTGTTCGGCAATTAGAGACGCTGCGCCCCCTAGTGGAAGATCCGCGCCTGGACGTAAAGTTCATCCAGCTGGTCCGGGACCCGCGCGCGGTGCTAGCATCCAGAATGGTGGCTTTTTCAACCAAATACAAGAACTGGAAGAGGTGGGCCACTGATGGTGAAGTTCCTGAGGATGACGATGAAGTGAGGAAGCTCAAAGGGAACTGCGACAACATCCGAATGTCCGCAGAAACGGGCCTGAAACGGCCCGCATGGCTGCGCGGACGCTACATGCTAGTGCGCTATGAGGACATTGCTAGGTTTCCCATGCGGAAAGCTGCTGAGATGTACCAGTTCACTGGCATCCCCTTCACTTCCCAAGTGAAGGACTGGATCTTGAGGAACACTCACGCCTCCAGCGATGTTAGCGGAGTCTACTCCACCCAGAAAAACTCCTCCCAGCAGGTGGAGAAGTGGAGGGTTAGCATGCCCTTTAAACTAGCCCAGGTGGTGCAGAAGGTGTGCGGCCCTGCCATGACTCTGTTCGGCTACAAGTTTGCCGAAAGCGAAGAGATGCTGAGCGACTTGTCAGTCAGCTTGATTGAAGAAAGGACTTTTCTATGACCATAGAGAGTCTTGTATCTTTTTTACTCAGAACTCAGTAAGCTAAAACTCACCTTTATAAGAGACAAAGCTGGATGTCAGGATTTTTTATTGTGTTTTATATTTATTAGGGACATCAGCACAAAATATGACAGGGTAAATCTTACTTTATTCAGTCTGTTTGATCTCATTTAATTCCATAAGTTACAAATACAGAGATAACTAAAAACAATCTGTGCTACCTTGAGAGAAATGACAGAGGGAACGATACTGAGAAAGAGATATTTTTGTCAGAAATGTATTTTATGTAGAACACAAGACTCTCCGACTTCATTTCCATAGCATTAACATGTATTTTAACAGAGGTGTAAATCACATATCATAAAGAATGCTGGAAATCTCCTATCTATCTTTTCTACTCTGCGGCTGGTTCAGGTTTCAATCACAGATGCTGCTTTTGTTCCAAAAGATGAAACTTGAAATGGAACACATATCAGAAACCCCAAGGCAAAGGATTTCTATGTTTTTCTTTCTAAGTTACAAAGATACTTCAGCTAACAATGCCAATGAGATTGCCACATAAGGCAAGTTAGCTTAATAATGCTAACTTGCTGTTGCCTGGTTTCTGTCATTTATTAACCGGTGTAATGAGCAGGGTTGCCACCTCAGCCCTGTAAAATACTGGACACTTGATTAGCAATGTGTACCATTCCAACTCATTCTTTATGTACAAACGGTTTGACTGGAAATAGCAGTTTAAACTTCATAAGAAATACTAACATATGAAGGTGCTTGGATTCGGAATATTTTGTGTCCTGGACAGGCAACCAAAACCCTGGACAATGCAGGGAAATCCTGGACGGGTGGCAACCCTAGTAAAGAAAATAGTTTATGTTGTCAAAAACTGACGCATTCAACTCACATACTTTGACATTTGCACATGAACGCAGTACACCTACAACTAAACACACATAAAAAGTTGAGGCTCTGTGGAGCCGTATGACCAAAAAGGCTGTATTTTGGTAGGCCAGAGGAGCAGCTATTGATCTGACATTTCTTTAGATACTGTTTAAATTCTGAATAGCAACAACTGAGAATCATTGGGTTTGGTGAGCTGCTGTAACGTTACTTTTCCCAAAAAATTAGTAACTTAACAGAACATTTAGCAGTAGACAAAGGATTCAAAAATAGATTAGTCATCATTCAAAAGCCAAGGAAAATCTGTTTAGCCACTTTGGGTTAAATCAGTAGATAAGCTAATGTTAAAGGTGCAATTCTGCCCTATAAAATAAAAATAATAAAATAAATAATAAAAAAAACAAACAAAATAAAAATCATAATATGTACAGTAATTTACTGGCAGCAGAGCTGATAGTAAAGAACTATATATTCATGGTACATATTTTACAGTATTTTACTGTATATTAAATGCAGAGTTATTTACTGCAAATGTACAGTACTTTGCTGGCAACTCTGCTGCCAGTAAATTACTGTAACTTGCATTGTCTGGTAAACCAGTTGCCCAGTCTTTTACAGTATAATCCTGTAAAATGGTAAAGAACAAAAAAAACAGTATTTTACTGTAAAATAAATACTGTAAATGTACAGCAGTTTTTTATAGTGTTAATGTAGGGCAGTCGTTGGCTGCATACAAAACCGCATACTAACATACAACACATACTACACTAATGAATTCCTAATGAATAAAGTGGTGTGCTATTTTTGGCATACTACTTAGTATGGTGGTATGCACTGTTGGATGCAGCCAGTGACTGCCCCTCATCCAGTATTGCACTTGTTAGCTCTAGTATTAGCTTATCTACAGATTTAACCCACAGCTATTATCCTTTACAAAAGGCAAGTTTCTTTCTCCTTTATGGATGATGTACTAACATGTTAGCTTGTCAAGGTAACATTGAGAACAGAGAAATATCTTCAACATCAGCTATCATAGTTAGCCTAGCTACACTGCTTTGAACCCATCAGTCTAGTCATGTCCATGCCAATGCTGAGGTGCAACTGTAGTAATGTGCAGTAAACATTTATACATCATCAACACTTTTTTAGCATTTATAGTTTTACATGTGTGAAAAGTTTAGGGTTGTTACATCAGCCCTGTACAATTCCTGGACACTCGATCAGTAACTTGATTTTCTGCTAAATTCAGTAGATGGGTAGCTCATTATACAGTCTAAGATAGATAGAAGTCAGTTCATCTACAGATCCAAACCCTGCATTGAAGAGCTGCCCAGTGCCTAAACATGTCGCTGTCCCAGTAATCTGAACTAATCAAATCAAGTGTGAAGGTGAGTGAATCTTGGGTGCGTAGCCCTCTTGTAGTACTTAAATACTAAAATGAATAAAAAGTATATAAAAGTGTATACACATTAGACTCTAAATACACACATTAATATACAACAATAAAACCCATTCCTTATATAAATTGGTCATGGTCATGCTGGTTGACCAGCATATCAGCATCCAAAACATAACATATCGCTGTTGTCGGAAGAAAACCTTGCATCTCCATTTTTTTCAGTTTTTGCCATAATTTGAAAATACTTGTTACCCTTTACATTGTATGTAAATTTCATGATGAATGGACCAAAAGAAACGACTCAAAATGTCTTGGAAAGTCTGGTTCCATTGACTTACATTAAAAGTTAAGTATGTTTTTTCCTTCTCCTGTAAAGTTACCATTTTGGAGACACGAGGTTTTCTTCCGACAACAGCGATATGCTGGTTTTGCTGGTGGTCAGCCATGCTAGGCTATGCTGATTATTCAAGCAGGTTGGACAGGCATCCGAAAACCTGGACAATCCCAGAAAATCCTGGACAGGTGGCCACCCTAGAAGCTGCCAGAATCTTGCGACAACTTTTGACAACATCAACTATTTTCGTTTAACCGGTTTCTAGGTGACGTATTCCTTTAATAAGAGACGACAGAACCTTACAGTCAGAGTCCTCGTGTTTGCCAAATGCTTGGGGCTATCAGTCAAAGACAAAACCCCTCCTCTGTCTCCCTCCTGAGGGATGTCTCTCACCACCTATAGCTTGTGTCTGTTCTGTGATTGAGTTGCTGTTTGAAGTTTAATGCAAGTGTCCGAGTGTGTGTGTATGTGTGTTTGGGGGGGGGGTCTCCTGTGTGAGCAGATGTTTATGGGGTAGTACTGTGTGTTTCTGACATTCTTTCTGCAGCTGGCTTGCAGAAGTGTATAGATGTATCTCCAGTGTTCATGCTGTTGACGCAAGTCACTAATGACTAATGGATTCAAAGGGACCAAAACATCAGGGATTTAGGGTCCTGACACACCAAGCCGACTGTCGTCTGATCGTCACCCAGAGTTTTATGTCTAGTGCAACAAAACTAGTGGGGCTAGTTGGTCCCGGTCAGTGACGTCTCTACTGATTAAGCATGTTTATTTGGCGTTAGGGGTCGACCGTGAGACAGAGCATGTGCGAGGGCAGAAACAAAAGAGAGCAAGGCAAGAAATAGGCACTCACAACAGAGCACACAGGGAAGACTCAGTGCAAGTAGCAATGTTTTATCACTAGTGTTGGGCATTTTAAATACTTTTTTGACTACTGCTGTCTGAATGTGCAGATTTTTAAAGGAACTGTATTAAATATTGCATTCCTAATGAGAAACTATTTAATGTTGTTATGAATTAGACACAGACAGATGCTTTGACGGTGCTCTGAAGCACACTAACATAAGCAGATAGTTATTTCATGGACTTTTTTAGTTTGTGTTAATACAGTTATGAATATGCGAAAAACAGACATTTATTTTTACTGTTTAATGTACAGACATTCACTTTTACTCACTCAGCTCTGCTAACAGTGGTTTGCTTTCACTTTCTCACATTAGGTTTAGCTTAAACACAGATATTTAAAGCTCATAATACACTCAAACAATATATTCTTTTCTTTGTATGCTGCAGACTTACAGACCGCAGCTCCTGCTGTATAGAGCTGTACCCTTTAGCGCAAGTACAGTAAGTGCATGCATGTCGTCTGCCTTAGTTCGTGCTAGCTTTTGTCGGCTTGGTGTGTCTGGGCCCGAATATGTGAAGCGTTTCATGTGTTCTGAACCTGCTGGCTCTATTGGACAGTACTTTCCTTAAGCTAGGAGGTAGATATGTTTGCTACATAACAGGATCGATATATTGTGGCTAAAACGTTATTTTAAATAAACAGTGCCTTTTTGATTTTCTGTTTCAAAATCTGTTCTTTGTTTCTACTATTTATGTCAAAGACTTTTGTGAAATATATTGAGGAAAACTAAACACGTGTTCTTCTCGTCTCTGGTTCCTGTCCCTTAGATCTCAAACTCAACACCGTTTTTACTTTTTGGTGGAGTCTCACAGAATGAGAAGCCTAAAGCACAAATTGTAGATGGCAGTGCAGGATATTTGTATGCACTGCTAGAAAGTGACTACAATTCACCCTTCCTTAATTAGCACAGAGACACCAGACATTTTAATGCGTCTCGCTGTCTCTCTACCCAGTAATTTCATTTGGGAAGGGACGATGCCTCGGGTAGTCTGGGCCATAATGGGTGGGACCTATGGAGTTAAATATGCCATTTATCTCTACTTTGCTAGTCATATATCTGTACATCACGATCTACAGCTTACTAGTTGTTTACTACTTTGAAATAAGCTGTTCACAGTTGGGGACCCATCCATTCTTCAGCACATGTAATACCATTTCAACACTGAATGCCAAGATGATGGTCACATTACCTATTTAATGATAGCATGTTAATAGTATGGTAGCCTAATAAATCAACATCATTATGTAAAAGTTTGGGCTCCCTCATTTGACATGTTTATGATTTTCTTAGTGTAAATAAGTTAATACATCCTCTACAGAGAACACACTTAATACATAATGCCTATTTATTTGCTAACTTTAACATATTGGGTAGGAAATAAACCATAAAACATTGCTTGTACAAAAGTTGTGGGACAATTTATATATTTTCAAGTTTAATTTTTTTTTCAAATATGTTAAACTATATAGAAACTGTGCAGTAAAATTAGCAGAAAATGCCATATTGAAGTTGTTCCTTGTAGAGGATGTGTTAACTTATTTTTACTTATAAAATAAACAAAACGTGTAATATGGCCAGGGGTGTGAAAACTTTTTGCATACGACTGTAGTGACCTTCAAAATAAATAACTAAACACACAGAAAACCACAACAGACATAATGGTATACAAAAATAGTGGTGCAACTTTTGAACTTAACACACACACATATCCTCCTGGGTCGTGCGGGGTACTGGAGCCTATCCCAGCGGTCCCTGAGCAGAAGGCAGGAAACGCCCTGGACACATTGCCAGTCCATACAGGACAGACACACAGACATACACATTCACACCGAGGAGCAATTTAGCATCTCCAGTTCCCCTGACTGCATGTCTTTGGATGTGGGAGGAAACCGGAGCACCTGGAGGAAACCCACGCAGACATGGGGAGCAAATGTAAACGCCACACAGAAAGGACCCTGGTCAGCCCAGCCGGGGAATCAAACCCAGGCCCTTCTTGCTGTGAGGTGACAGCGCTACCCACTAGGATTGTGTAGGGAAGCATAGGATTTTGGGCCCCTCACCTCCCCTTTTAACTGCACATGCCACTCAAACAGAGAGAGCTCTGCTTCTTTTGTTTAACTACCTTGAGGAAAATAGTAAGTTAGCCTGGTCAGTTACTCCAGTAAGACTGGAATTAAAGTGCTGAGCAAAGGCTTATTGGTGCTCATTTGAATTTTGTTTGTTTCTAAACTGAATTTTGTTTGTTTCTAAAGTCAGAGTCATTGGTGCTCAAGTCAAAGTCTGAGTCAGCTGTGTTCATTTCAGAGTCCAAGTCATCACAGTTCAAGTCAAAATCTGAGTCATCTGTGTTCAAGTTGAGTCGCAACGTTTTTGATTTTGTCCACACCTCTGGTTCAGTCACATCTTGGTCAAATCTCACATTTTTTTATTACACATAATAATAAACTTCATCGAGTTAAAGTCCTAGTCATCATCGTTGAAGTCAAAGGCTGAGTCATTGGTGTTCAAGGCAAAGCCTGAGTCATCGGTGTTCAAACATATGTCAGAGTCATCTGAGTTCAAGGTAAAGTCAGAATCATCCGTGTTCAAGTCAAAGTCCGGGTCATCTGTGTTCAATTCAGAGTCCACGTCATTGATATTCAAGTAAAAATCCATATCATGGGAGATTAAGGCAAAATCTGAGTCGTTGGTGTTCAACCAAAAATCTGAGTCATCAGTGCTGAAGTCAAAGTCTGATTTGTCTGTGTTCAATCTAAAGTCAGAGCCATTGGTGTTCAAGTTAAAGTCAGAGTCATTGGTGTTCAATCCAAAATCTGAGTCATCTGTGTTCAAGCCAAAGTCTGAGTCATTGGTGTTCAATCCAAAGTCTGAGTCATTGGTGCTCAGTCCAAAGTCTGAGTCATTGGTGCTCAGTCCAAAGTCTGATTTGTCTGTGTTCAAGCCAAAGTCTCAGTCATCGGTATTCAAGCCAAAGTCTGAGACATTAGTGTTCAATCCAAAGTCTGAGTCATTGGTGCTCAAGTCAAAGTCTGATTTGTCTGTGTTCAATCTAAAGTCCAAGTCATCAGTGTTTAAGTTAAAGTCAGAGTCATTGGTGCTCAAGTCAAAGTCCGGGTCATCAGTGTTCAAGTTAAAGTCAGACTCATTGGTGCTCAAGTCAAA